TCATTAGCTTGCATACAGTAAAATCCCAAATTTTTCACAGATACTGTGCTATAGTCTTTGTTAAATATTTCACATATCACCCCTGGATAAAAGGTACAACATGCTGAGAACAAATATAGTTGTCATCAAACTTTTATGATGCAAAACAACATAGCAACGAATCTATAAAACTAAAACTTCTAGAAGTATATTATTTTGTATTTTAAAAGTCAGCTGAGAGACTTAAACTTAGTTCTTTCAAAATAGATCAAATAGGACAGCAAATAATTTTAGAAAATTTGACTATCACTTTCAAAGAGCTTGAGTGAGCATATATTGAATATTTATGAATGCACATCTACAATATTACTTAAACATAATATAAATTAAGTGCCTATGAAAGTGAAAAACATTAAATGTAGTCTTTATATGAAAGTTTAATAAATATTAAAGAGTAGAAACAATTTAGCCTTTCTTTGCTTGCCTAAATCAATTTAAGAAAATTGGGATAAAATTCTAATAGAAATTGAAATTTTTCTAAATAATTTGGGATCAAAGGGAATATCAAATATAAAATTGCACCTCATGATTGCTAAGAGGCATACTCTTTAGCAAAGGTTATGGTAAATATATAAACCACAGTTGATAGAAAATTCATAACCTTATGCTTCATTAAAAAAAATGATCTGAAAATATATGAAGAAAGAATTCAGGTCTAGAAACCAAGGAGTCTTAACTAACTTGTCCTTGGAAATGGTTCTGGTTCTTATGCTTAAATATAAATCTGTGCTAACACGTTCCATTTTTAGGAAAAAAAAATGTAGCTTTTTTAACTTTGAAAGAAGTAAATTGGCTGGAGGTGGCTTTTTTTGTTGGTAGTTTTCCAGAATATGTATTTTTTTATTTTTATAGAAAGACTTGAACAAAACTTAGCAAATTAATTTATTCAAAAACAACTTCCAATAAATTAGACCCACTTTTAGAGATTAATACACATACAGTAATTAAAATTTAAAATGAAATTGAAAAGTTATTTCTTTTTTCTTTAAAATGCTTTCAAAGGTCTGTGAACCATATTGCTTTTTCTGTCTGTGATTTTTTTATAGACTGTTATTGATAAAATTTTGACCTATAATACAAGGTTTGTACAAGACGAGAGCTAAGCAAAGATAGGTTTATAATCTGTGTAGCATACAGGACAAAGGAGGTGGGAAAAAATGTGAATGCCAAACATCAAAATTGTGAGATCTATAATAGCTTTTATCATTCCTTTAAGATGGGAAAGGTGATACTGAGTGTACCGGTTAATAATGTGGATTTTGTAATCAAAGAAAACACAATAATTTCAAGAGAAACATTAAAAGTGCTTTATTCAAAGTAATATCCATTGCTAGCTACACATTTCCCCATCTTTCAGGTAATTTGTAGATACTGTCCCAATAGAACTTGTTTTGAGGCAGACCATTCAAAGACCCAATTTCTCACTTCTTTGTATGTTTTGAAGTGCTGCTCAGAAAGTGCATGTGCCATCAATCGGAACAAGTGGTCATCTGAAGGAGCAAGGTCTGGTAAATACGGCAGGTGGGTTATTACTTCCCAGGAAAGATCTTTTAACGTGTATTTAACTGGTTTTGAAGTGTGTGATAGTGTGTCACCATCAAGCAAAATTACTTTGCTATGTCAGAAGAGGCCCATTCTGGTCCTTATACTATCAAAGCAGGGTTCAAATTGATTATTTGTTGTTGGTAGCGATCAGTATTAACAGTTCCACCTGATTTTAGAAGCTCATAATACATTGCATCTTCCTGATCCCACCAAATGCAGAGCATTGTCTTCTCTCCTAAGGAATTGGCTTTGTAGTTGATATTGATAGTTGACCTGGATCAACCCATGATTTGTGCATTTGGTATTCTCAAAATAAATCTACTTTTCTTTTTTTATATATATATATTTTTTATTGATTTTTTTACAGGGAGAGGAAGGGAGAGGGATAGAGAGTTAGAAACATCGATGAGAGAGAAACATCGATCAGCTGCCTCCTGCACACACCCCACGGGATGTGCCCGTAACCACGGTACATGCCCTTGATCAGAATCGAACCTGGGACCCTATAGTCCGCAGGCTGATGCTCTATCCACTGAGCCAAACCGGTCTTGGCTAAATCCACTTTTCATCGCCAGTCACAATTCGATGCAAAATATTATTTTCTTTTGTGCTGTTGAAGCAACATTTTACTGATGACTTCTTGGTTTTCCATTTTTTTTTTGTTCAGTTGATGTGGCACCCATTTTCCTTCCTTTAAAATCTCTCCCATTGCTTGTAAACTATCGGAAATTGTTTGCTGAGCAATGTTTAATCTTTCTGCAAGTTGTTTTTGAGTTTACCACACCTCTTCATCCAATAATGCTTGTAATTGTTGGTCCTCAAACTTTTTTGTTTGACCTGGACATCTTTTGTCTTTCACATAGAAAAATATCACTCTTAAAGCATTTAAACCAGTGTTCACAAGTATCTTGAGATGGAGCATGTTCACCATAAGCTGAATATATATTAATATATGTATAACTCCATCTATTGAAAAAAATCCACATTATTAATCGGTATACCTAGTATGTAATATTTATATATTGTACAGCAATGTACAACTTCTGGTGTGAGGATGTTTTGTGATTTGAAGTAATCTTGAGACAACTTGTTTGATGAGAGTAAAGGGAAAAGTCATATGGTCTGATGGAGTTCTTATTTTCTGGCAGAAGATTCCCTGCCAAATAAAGTTGAAAAGAATGGTGGAAGAGAATGATATAAAATTATGGTTTGTGATATTACGAATATGTCCAGTTATACATGGAAAAGCTCTAGTTGCTCAGGCTTAGGCCAGGTTTCTCCCTGAGAAAACCACTTTTCCATCTCCCGCCATTCTCCAGCAATCCTACTCTTCTATTTTCTTCAAAGAACCGATTATTATGTGAAAGTGTCTTGTCCCTGTGCTTCCTTATTGCCTATTACCTTCCATTGGACTGCAGGTTCCATAAAAGCAGGAATCCCACCTATTAGTTCGCTGCTGTCCCCAGTGACTAGAATAGGTGCCCTGTGTGTAGAAGTGCTCAATAAATATGTGTTGAGTGAATGAATGTGAAAACTGTATAATATCTGAGAATGAGGAAAATGCATATTCACCCAATTTCAGTGGGCCCTCTCTTTTTATTGTGAATTATTTTTAGAACAATTATACATTCATGCTGTGGTGATAACTTTTATATTATTTGTATGACTAATTTTCTTAGCTGACTTTTAAGACACGCAAACATAAAATGTTTTAAACAAATGTGGGAGAAGGACAAATTTGATATATTAAACAGCGCATTTGAGTATGGCTTGACTTGAATCTATTTTAGTGTGGGAAAATGTTTTCATTTTATTTATTAATTTTTTTTATTGTTTAAAGTCTTACATATGTCTCCCCCCACCCCCATTGATCCCTCCCTGGCCACTCCCACCCCTTAGGACAAGCCTCCACTGTCCCACTGCCCCAGTGTCCATGTCCATTGATTATGCTAATATACATGCATACAGGTCCTTCAGTTGATTTTACAGTTCCCTCCTCCCCCTCAGCCTCCCTGCCCTCCACTGCTTCTGAGATTTGATGGTTCGTTCGGTGTTTCTCTGTCTCTGGATCTATTTTTGTTCATTAATTTATATTGTTCATTATATTCCACAAATGAGTGAGATGTGATATTTATCTTTCTCTGACCAGCTTATTTAGCTTACCATAGTGCTCTCCTGATCCATCCTATTTTTATTTTCAACATGGTCTCATAGAGATGTCTCTTTTAAAATAATTTTTATTTATTGATTTTTAGAGACAGAGGAAGTGGCGGGGGAGGGGGGTGGTTGTCAATTTGTTGTTCTACCTATTTATGAATTCATTGGTTGATTCTTATCCTGACCAGAGATCTAACCCACAACCTTTGCGTATTGGGTCGATGCCAACTAAGCTACCCAGTGAGGGCTGGGATCTCTTTAATTTTGGTGTTGGAAGACAGTACTCACACATGCCTTGTAAGCTACTGTATCTCAGTGTGGTAGACAGACTGTAAGTTGGCCCCTCATGTCCCCACCCCTGATATCCTCACCATTGTATAACCCCCTTCTGAGTGTCTGTGGGGGATGTGACTTGCTTCTAGCCAATAGAATATAACAGAGATAACAGGATGTCACGCCTGTGATTACATTTTGACATTTAAGACTCTCTCTAGAGACTCACTTTGCTGGCTTGAGCCTCCATGTTGAAACAGCCCACTTGGCATACACTTCAGGCAGCCACTAGGACCTGAGGTTGACCTTCAGCTGACATCCAGCAAGAAGCAGATGCTCTCAGTCCCATAACCACGAGGAAATGCATTATCTCACTGGAAGCATACAACTAGTTTAGAACATTGTCAATCATTTATATACCTCAGGGGCCAAGAAGGATTTGAGAAGAAGTTTTCTACAAAGGTACCTGAGCTTGAAGTGGGTGACTACTCCTAGGTAAGGATGGTTGTGTAACAGGGAAGCTTGGCTAGATAAAGACTTCTTTAGCTTCAGTATTTGCTTACATCTTGGCCAGATGAATGTCTCTCTGTACTTCTTGCTTATATACGTCATATCTTAAGAATGACCTGATGGGGAGGTGTGTGTTTACACGGCCCACGGATGGCATCTGAAGGATGAAAATTGGTTACAGATTCCCTGAGAAGCCCTCTGTATTGATGTTAACCATGGCAACATGTAGGCAAAGCCTGAAAAACCAAATCAGGGTCAGTTGGTAGTATAATGGTAACTGAGCCTGGGAAAAATTTGCATCCTGCTGAGCCAAGCTCTCGTTTCCTCCATAACCATAGCCAAGCATCTTCCTTTTAAGTGAGCTCTGGCTCAAATGCAGAGCCTGAGCATTCTTTTCACATCCCCTGAGGAATAATCTAAAAAGGGGACTGACTGTGAGTAGGGGTAGGAGGGAGGCCAAGGACCAAGGCGCAGGGGTGGTGACCAGAGGAGAGGCCAAAATGCAGCTAGCCTTCACCACCCTCTTCATGCTGCTCTTTGTCCTGCTGTGTCTCCTGGGCATCCTGGCCAATGGCTTCATTGTGCTGATGCTGAGCAGAGAATGGAGGCGGCTCGGGAGGCTGCTCCCTTCGGACATGATCATCATGAGCTTGGGCGCCTCCCGTTTCTTCCTGCAGCTGGTTGGAATGGTGCACAACTTTTACTCCTTCTTCTACCTGGAGGATTTCAGCAGCGGTCCTGCGCGGCAGCTCTTTGGTCTCCAATGGGACTTCCTGAATTCATCCACCTACTGGTTCGGTACCTTGCTCAGTATCCTCTTCTGCCTGAAGGTTGCTAACCTCACTCACCCTACCTTCCTCTGGATGAAGTGGCGGTTCCCAGGGTCAGTGCCCTGGCTTCTGCTGGGCTCCCTCCTGATCTCCACCGTCGTCACCCTGCTCTACTTTTGGGGAAACTACGCCGTGTATCATGGTTTTTTCATCAGAGAAGTTTATGAGAATATGACATACACGGAGAGGGCCATGAGGATGGAAGTTCTCTACTTCCTACCCCTCAAATTAGTCACACTGTCAATTCCTTGCTCTGTTTTTCTGGCCTCGACTGCATTGTTGATTCATTCTCTGAGGAGACACACTCGGACAATGCGGCAAAGTGCCCACAGCCTGCAAGACGCCAGCATCCAGGCTCACACCAGAGCTCTGAAGTCCCTCATCTCCTTCCTCATTCTTTACATTCTGTCTTTCATGTCCCTGATCATTGATGCCATAGGCTTCTTTTCATCAGAGAGCGACTGGTTCTGGCCATGGCAAATTCTAACCTACATGTGCACATCTGTCCATCCCTTTGTCATCATCCTCAGCAACCCCAGGCATCGAGAGGTGTTCAAGCCGCTACTTCTGTTGGCCAGGGGCTTCTGGCTGGTCTAGGTGCCTTGGTCTCCTTATTCTGATCCCCAGAAGAGACTCAAGTGAGGATGACAGAACTACGGCCCATTTACATGGAAATATCTTCATAGGTAGATGTCTACTGGATCATGCTTGGGCTCCTCCTTTGAAAGGAAAGAAGAAGAACAAAATCGGGAACACTCTGACCATGATACCTCTCTTGGGACACTTAAAATAGTCCAAGGGTCCCAGAGAGCCAATATTGTCCAGAAGGTCATAATACAAAATTTTATGCTATTCTCTGTTTGTATACTCTGTGTTGAGAGGAAGCCTTCAGTTAAATGCCTTGATTAAGTATACTATCTTATCTTGAAAGCCTAATTGAAAATTAAGAAGAGAAAAAATGTCCGCAACTGAATTGGGGTGTAGATGGGAAGCAGGAACCTTCGTGAGGATAATGTCAAGGTTACGATTATACTAAGGGACAGTTGTGGTAGACAGTGGCTGGGCTGTGAGATCTAAATGCTTTTCCTTTTGTGGAGATTCTTTTCCTTCCACCAAGTTTGGGTAATTTGGTTTTAATTTTGTTAAAGCCACTGGAAAGTTTCTTTGCACTAACCCCATCTCTTTCTTAATTGATATTTTCATTGTTCTGCATTTGATTTTCTCCTCTCTCAAGTCTAAGTGGCAGCCAGATTTTTTCCAGGTTTGTTCTGGAATGCAAATGTCACCAAGTCACATGTGAATAGAATAAACATGTACTTCTGTTCTGAAAAACATTCAAGAATTTCACTTAGTTTGAGTCAAAAAAACTATTGAACCTCTTTTTTACAAAAGTAAAATAATGGTCCTATTAAATATTTGTTTAAATGTTTTAAAATAGTTTGCTCCAATTACTATGCATTTTTTTAGAAATAATTTTGTAAAAAAGTTTAGAGTTGGGTGCTGCTAAGACAAGCTTAAAAATTTTTGTTAAAAGCATCCATGTGAAAATTTCAGAGTCCAACTGGTAACTGGATTCCTGAAAAGGAGAAATTTTAATCACTTGGAGTGAAAATTAGGGTGCATGTTGCTGAGTGGATGCATACTTTGCAACATTAGCACTCAGTAAAAGAACATTGATTTTTGAATCATATTTTATTCTGATTGAGTTATTATAAAAGAGGAATTGTGGAAGTAAAAAAAAAGTCTTGAGGCCTTACGCTTACTAGCATTTCAGAAATGCTCTACCATTTCATGTTCACCAATAAAGTTTGAAAGTTTCTATATCATACTGTCCTTTCTAGCACTGAGCATTACAACTTTAATATATAATAGTTAATTTAAAAATAGTTAATTTAATCAAAACAATCTTCTTTAATGTGCTTTCTTTTTATTACTAGAGCAATTACTAGTAGACAAACATATTAACTCATGAATAGTTCATGTCTTGTCTCTCTTTATATTGATAGTAGAGGCCCAGTGCACGAATTTGTGCACAGGTGGGGTCCCTTCAGCCTGGCTGGTGATCTAGGCTGTTGCTTAGGCTTTTATAAATATATAGATCTGGTCTTAATAAAGGTAATTTTACCTATTTCATTTGGAGCAATTTCCTTGCAGTTTGTTTTTTAATTTTTATTGAGATCTGTTTTTACATACAAAAGTTTTATGTATTTAAAATTAATGATTCTTTGTTATCTCCTCTGTCTGGAAAGTCTTTTCTTTTGAAGAGCCTAGAGTTTTACCTTTATTTTCTTATAGTTTTATAAGTTTTAAGTATCTTGTGTATGTATAAAAGAGTGCATTTAGTTATTGGATTTGCAATAATTATGCACGTGGATTTGTAAAGACCTGACATCCAGTTTCTCACCTAGAAGTATTGTCTGTTTCACCAATTATTGAAGCCTTCCTCTAAATCTCAGTAGTAAAGATTTTTTCTTTATATAGACTCCTGAACCTTGTATATATTTTTTCACATTTTAGTTTATGGCTATTTTTGCCTGTAGACTTTGCTATTAAACAATTTTTACTCCTCAGGAAAGCTCTTGATTTTCTTGGGTAAATTTAGCTTGTATCCATTGAATTTATTGAATTCCCTTACTTACGAGTGACAACTCAATTAATACAGGCTTCTTAGATAGAAAGTAGTATCTAAAATGAAGTGACATTCTGTGTGTGTGTGTGTGTTTTGTTTGTTTGTTTGTTTTTTACTTTTAATGGAATTGCCATCAGTTTCTCAGCCATTAAGAATACTTTCTGGACTCTAGCTGGCTGGGCAACTCAGTTGTTTAGAGCATCTTCCTTGATACACCAAGGTTGAGGTTCAGTCCCCAGTCATGGCACATACAAGAATCAACCAATGAATGCATAAATAAATAGAACAACAAATTGATATTTTTTCTCTTTCCCTCCCTCCTCCTTCCTCCCCCTCTCTCCTTTCCTTTCTTTCTAAAATCAATCAGTAAATAAAAAATTATTAAAACATAAAAAGCTTTCTGGTTTTTTTTTATTGAGGTATAGATTGTATAATATTTCTAATATTTACTTATTTTGTTTTAAAAATCAGGATTCCATATTGAAATTGACAAATACACTTATAGTATAATGATCATTATATGGAGTTCTAAAGTGTAACCTAGTAGTGATATACTAATAAATTTGTATCTTAAGCTGTTCTTGAAGAAATATGACATAGTCTTAATGGATAAATATTTTAATACACTATTGAAATTGATTCACCTTACCCTCCTCCCCCTTGAGTCCGCAGGCTGACCCTCTATCCACTGACCCAAACTGGCCAGGGCTGTACAACAGTTTTCTAATACTCTCATCTGCTGATGGGCATTTAGGCTGTTTCCAAATCTTAGCTATTATAAATTGTGCTGTTGCTGTTATGAACATAGGGGTGCATATATCCTTTCTGATTGGTGTTTCTGTTTTCTTTGGGATATATTCCTAGAAGTGGGATTACTGGATCAAATGGGAGCTCCCTTTTTAATTTTTTGAGGAAACTCCATATTGTTTCCCAGTGGCTCACCAGTCTGGATTCCCACCAGCAGTGCACGAGGATTCCTTTTTCTCCACATCCCCTCCAGCACTTGTCTTTGTTGATTTGCTGATGATAGCCATTCTGACAGGTGTAAGATTGTACCACATTGTCGTTTTGATTTGCACTGTGTTCCTTTCTTCCATCCTATCTCTATTATGAGACTGATCTCCCCCCAAAAAATACAAGTATGATCATATCAGTTTAGTTTTTAATATATATATATTTTTTATTGATTTCAGAGAAGAAAGGAGAGAGAGACAGAAACATCAGTGATGAAAGAGAATTATTGATTGGCTGCCTCCTGCATACCTCCTACTGGGGATTGAGCCAATAACTGGCATGTATCCTTGACTGGAATCAAACCTGGGACCCCTCAGTCCACAGGCCAATGCTCTATTGACTAAGCCAAACTGGTCAGGGCTATCAGTTCAGTTTTTAAAGTTGGTCAGTAGTGTCCCATCGCCTTCACTGTGAAACCGAAACTTTTACGTGAGTCATTTCTGGCTTTGATTTCCTACCTTCATGTTCCCACGATTGCCCTTGTTCCAGTCTTATTTTCAATTAATTTTACAGAATCATGATAGGAAGTTCTCACAGCATAGAATGATCTACCCCCACCTTGTTTGCCTGGCGACTCCTTCCCCTTCCCTCTTAGGCTCAGAATTCACTTCGTATTGGAAGTGTTTTACAATACACTGGCTCTGCACTCTCAAGTTAGGTGTCTTTCCTCTCTGGTTTCATTATATTCTTCACATTTGTATTCTATTTATTGCACAGTGTTTTAGTTTTCTTGCCTCTTTCTCCATTGGAAACTTTTTGAGAGCAAGAGGGGTGTAGCTTATCTATCTAATTCACTGTGTCTCTTAAGTAGAGGATGCTCAGTAACTGTCAGGAGAGGGGCTGGCTGTATGCACAGACTACCAATAGCCTGCACTAGAGTAGACCTGTTCTTTTCTTTTCCTCTCTCCCTCCTTGCTACCGGAGTTTTCTTTCTAAAAGATAAATCTGATCATTCAGTCTGTGACATAGGGCCAGTGGCCCTTGTGTGTAGATACACCTCTGTGGAAGTTACTGTCACTTGCCAACACAGTCTTCCTGACTGTTTCTTTAAGGAGTGCTTTTAAAATTATTTATATAGAAAAAAATTATTTATGTAGGGGACCCTCTTAGTCCATATTTTTATTTTTTAATTTTTTTTTAATTTCTATAATAGCATGGCTCTGTGGTTGAGCATCAACCTATCATTGATTCTCTCTCATCATTGATATTTCTCTCACTTCCTCTAATACATATATAACCCCCCCCCCCCCCCCCCCCCCCCAGTTCTGGCCCCAGCAATTGTAGCTGGTGTCCTTGGGCAGTCCCTTACCCTCTCTGTCTTGGCTTCTCTATTTGTAAGCAGATACTAGTTCCTACCTCATGGGTGTTTGTGTGGATTAAACAAGTTAATTATGTAAAGTGTTTGGAATACCACCTGACACATAGAAGTGCTCAGTAAGTGTTAGCTATAACTATAATTATGACAGTTATAATATTTTAACCCTGACAGCAGCCTTTTGAGATTTCTATTACTATCTCCATTTTAGAGGAAGAAAGAAACAGCCTTAGAGACACTAATTCACTTGTCCAAGATCACCCAGTAAACAAGTCCTAAATTCTGATGCCTACACCTTGTGTTATACCATGTTGCCCCTGAAAAAGAGATGAAGGTATTGAAACCACTAATGAACATTCCAAAGTCTATAATGAGGAAGTTTTCAGGTTTTATTTGGTCTGAGAACAATCGAGAACATTGACTTTTGACAGATGGTTCAATGGTATTGCTAGAAAAGTATGTTCCTTTATAATGTGGAGGAGGAAGAGGCTCTTGCAGGAAAAAGAATTGGTGCTCTGAGGTGATGAGTGTTTGGATGAACAGAAAGAGGTGGACTCAAGGAAGAGCACAGATCCTGTCAAGGAGTCCTCAGAATTGTGCCTCTGCCAGCTGTGGGTGCGACTATTGCATTCCCAAAGCGTCCGGAGCTCTTCCCTGTTATGAATTTGGAGTGAACAGGGATGTTTCCAAAGCCCCATTCAAAGGGAGACAATGAGATTTGGACTCTTAATTTTTAGCTATGAATTTTAAAACCACATGTTGGAAGAAGAATCAGAGCTAAGTGCCTTCTTATCCACTAATCATGAAACTAAGCTGAATTGCCTTTAGAGCAGTGCTAATAAAAAAGGAGAAAGCCACATTAGTTATAGTTGTCTTCCTTTTTCTTACCCCTCTAAAGCGCTTTCCATATGTATCCCACATTGAACATAAACCCGATTTGACAGTGCAGTTTGAAGGGCAGCCTTGCTGTGATCTTGGAACAAATACTTTTGGCAACTGTGATTTTTTTTTTTTTTTTTTTTTTTTGGATAATACTTAGCAACATATGCTGTCTTTCAGGTTACCTACATTTTCTGTCATAAACTCTGTGCTTTGTTGTGTGATTGTCATTCCTCATTTGGGTTTTCTTTTAAGAATAAACTATATCTTTGATGCTGTCTTGTAACTTTATATGATTGGGATCTTTCGGCTACTCTCTACACAAGAGAAATATTGTTTATAAGTCTAAATACAAGGTTTCCAAAGG